TGGTGTCCAAAGTCATTTCTGAATAAGAACTGTATGAAACACAATTACCGGTATTCTCTAGCAACATACAACAATATAAAAATTATTTGTATCTGAGATAAGAACATAATACAGTCCAAAGTATAAGTACTATGATAGTATTATGAATGCATTGATAAAATCACATTTTTTACCTTTTCAAGACTTAAGAAACAACTGATATAGAATAATTTCATATAACCCCCCCCACCCATATCACCACATGCAATTTCAATCTCATCATCCTCTTCAAATGTGCTAAAGATATCCTAAAAAAAAGAGCACTGTCTTAGTTCAAGTAAAAACGAATCCATTCTTGCCATAATGCAGCAGCTATTATCAATCAAAATTCCCATTTTGTAGCCGAAAGATAAGCTTATAGGTAGATGTGAGTTTACTTCATTGGTAATGAAATTGTTTCAGGATGTAATGGATATTTGAATTCCATCTCGTTTTCAGTTCTAGATATAATGTGGAATAAACGTCTTATAGGCTTTCAGGCAATGCATCTCTTAAAAGATTGGAAAACATGACATTAAATTTAGATGACATGAAGTGATAGCAAACGATTGGCCATAAACCTTAGCAAGTGAAGAGTTAATTCTGAAAGAGGATAATTAAGGCTAGTATGTGGCTTTCAAACAGACACAAATTGGCCTAAATTCATCTGGAGTCTCTTATGAGCACCAAAGAGATACATTTTTGACTCAGATGCAGTGGTACCTCGGGTTAAGGACTTAATTCGTTCTGGAGGTCCGTTCTTAACCTGAAACTGTTCTTAACCTGAGGTACCACTTTAGCTAATGGGGCCTGCTGCGCTGCCACTGCACGATTTCTGTTCTCATCCTGAAGCAAAGTTCTTAACCCAAGGTACTATTTCTGATTTAGCAGAGTCTGTAACCTGAAGCGTCTGTAACCCGAGGTATCACTGTACTGAGCAATCTGTAGAGGGAGTTGGAGTGTGAGTGAGAGATCTGTTTGTTAGTATGTATCTTTTTGCTTGGTTTGGAAGCTCCCTGTGTTTTTTTAAATAATTTAAAAAGTTAGTAATGGGATTATAAGAAGGTGCTATTACAGGATATTGGATTTCCCCAAAGTAAATGTTACAGAATTCCAAGTAAAACACCAGAAATTCCAACTTCTGCGCAACAATTAGATGCCATAGTCCTGTCATTTTTTACATCAAAATGCAACTCCGACCCAATATATCCCCCCCACAATGAAAACCAAATGCACAAAGCTACAGAATGTAGAGGGTGCTTAACCTTTCTGCTTCTAGCCAAGTTTCCTCTCAAAATCACATTACCTTTCCCTCAAGCTGTTCTCTTCCAACCAGCGAAAGAGCTAAATGCCTATAATGTCCTTGAAGCCTTACTATAGCTAGCCTGAAAACCCTGTCCCACTTCTGCCTCCCTGAGTAGTTGTTAAATAAGAGTCCTTTTGTCTAAATGCAAATTTTGGGAATTCATGCAGATAGCTAGGCTAGATGAGGAGACAGGAGAGTTTCCTCTTGTTTTTGTCACTCACAGGTATCATTATGACTGGATTATTCTGCTGACTTTTCTAGCCTTCTAGACAAAGTCCACGCAGTTTAGACATATATGAGAAAGGTTATGTTTATTTAAACTGAAGCCAGAAGATTGGGGAAGGGTTCTGTTATTTTATGCCATAGGGCAAGGAAGAAGAAGCCTGGGGATGTTGCAGGGCCATCACCCCTCGTTGGAGTTCATCAACATCTGGAGGGCCAAAGGTCCTCCACACCTGCCATAGAGACTCTCTTCTTCATCTGTTGCCCACATTATGCAGAAATATCTGCTATTCAGACCCAAAAACGGGTTGAGTTTTTGTGAGTGCTTAGTTGAGTGCTCTCAATGATGAAGCCTACTTGCAAAAGCTTTCTGCAATGGCTTGCACATTGTTTGATGGTGCACAGATCAAGGAGGACTGACCTCTGCCTCTTCTCCCCTTCTGGGCCCTTAAGGTAAGTAATTTACCATTGTGGCTTGGAAAGTGGGGTGAGCATTCCCAGAGCCTCTGTTAATTGTTTAATTGACACTGAAATTGAGAATGCCTAAATGTGTATTATTGAAGGCTTTAAAGTGGGAAATTTACACTGAAGTATACTAAGTGGTCTCTGAACTCCTTGATGGGGTGATAATTAACTATTGTTGTTTTCTGCTAGCTAGCACATGAGTGTTTAACCTTAGATCCGGTCACTCAGGTACTGAATTGCAAATTCACCATCTTGGAAGGGTTGTGGCTTAATTTTTGTTCTCAGGCTCTGGGGAGTAAGGATGTGTAAATGACCCTCTCCAGTGAGTGAATACAGATCCAGGCAAAATGGAGGTTGTGAGGAAAGAGACCATTGCTTATAGGTCTGTTTGGAATTATCTTTTATTTCTAAGATGCTGATCCTGTGCAGGACAACACAAGATATTGTATGGAATTATTTGCTGTATCTTTGATATCTATGTTCTGTTTTGAAGAAAATTCTGCAAGTAAAGTTTCTGAATACAATACTTCATTCCAAAAAGAGTCATTTTTTTTAATGCATCCAGTTGCTCCAAGCTACACAATATCAATATCTGCAATTGCCCCAGCACAGCTTCTTTTTACAGGGCCTTTTATTTATGGAAGAAGGGGGACGCGGGTGGTGCTGTGGTCTAAACCACAGAACCTAGGGCTTGCCGATCAGAATGTCGGCGGTTTGAATCCCTGCGGCGGGGTGAGCTCCCATTGCTCGGTCCCTGCTCCTGTCAACCTAGCAGTTTGAAAGCACATCAATGTGCAAGTAGATAAATAGGTACCACTCCGGCAGGAAGGTAAACGGTGTTTCTGTGTGCTGCTCTGGTTCTCCAGAAGCAGCTTTGTCATGCTGGCCACATGACCCAGAAGCTGTCTGCAGACAAATGCTGGTTCCCTCAGCCAATAAAGCGAGATGAGCGCCGCAACCCCAGAGTCATCTGCGACTGGACTTAATGGTCAGGGGTCCCTTTACCTTTACCTTATTTATGGAAGAAATGACACTACTGATGTCCCAATAGGAATTCTGGGACTTGTAGTCTTAGTCACATATCCGGTGGGAAAAGACATCCAGCATTATTTATAAATAAATAAAAATATATGATCCCCCCCCCCCAGTTCCTAACCACCAGCTAAGACAAGAAGATGATGGAACCCCTGATGAGGCAAGACTTTCAGACAGGCCATTGAAAACTAGGTGCAGACAATGTTGACAACTCGACGATCACGGTAATTGGTATTTTAATGCTGGCTCTAACAATGCTTTATTGTATCTTAACTATTGTTTTTAACTGATATGCATTTATTTATTACTTTACATTTTATAATGATGTTTTGGAAATGTTGCAAGGTGGAATATAAATACGTTAAATAAGAACTGTAACCAGAAAGCTTTATACCAGTCAAATAGAAGATTCTCACGGGGAATAAACTGAGGTTTGTTTTCCACTTGGCATATCACTGGAATCTACAAGTTCTTCAAATATCAGGCAGCCCAGGGGGTCTGAGTTGCAAGATACATTATAGCCCCTTCTATCTCAGACTGTCTTTTCTCTACCAACAACTTCAATTTGACAATTAGGAATTTGTTTTATTCATTTGGATGGGTAAACTCTGCTTATCTTAAGCATACTGGACAGGATGGGTTTAGTTTTGCTTTTTTTTAAAAAAAAAAGCTTTAAAGAGTTTTAGTAGGTTTTTTAAAAGATCTCTTCTAAGAAACTCAAAAAATATATATTCTGGGGCAAATTCTTTTCTGAATGTGCAGCATGCTGACTGCTCATAACATGTTCTATAGTGTACCAATTGGGCAAATCATTGTAGATCTTGTCACAATTGCTTTTTGAGAGCTCAGGCTTGCTATTTGCTGCCACACATTGATATTGCTAAGAAGCCAGCCAGATGTTGTCATGACAATTCCCATAGAACTTCACAATTTTGCTCTGAAAATGATGTGTTTTGGCAGCCTTTCTACCACAGAGGCATAGTTCGCTCTCTCTCTCCCCCACCCTCCAGTTTTAGGCTGTCACCATCTTAAAATTACCCTTTCCTAGAGAGTTTCACGAAGTCCTTCAGTGGTGCTGTATATATGGCACAACAAAGGCACTCATGGGATCTTGCCCAGTGTTAAATATTCTATTAGCTTGCGCCATCTGCCTTCCCTCCTTCTTCTTTAAGAAGTCTTTTTTTTAAGAAGTCATATTTACTAGATCTAACTTTATAGGTAGGCTTTCCCCATTTTGCTAATTAGCCAGCATTCTGTCATATCAGATGTTATTGGGTTTTCCTCCAGTAATTAATCATATTAACTTTTTCAGTAATGTCTCACAAGGAAGCATCTTCTCTTTCTGGATAGTTCTCAGCAAACAGAATCAGACCAGCATGAACATGAGTGGCTGTTGCTTTTGTTTATTTGTTACTATCAGGATGCTTGGCTCTTTATAGAGCACAGGAAGAGATGTCTCTGTCCCAGGGAGCTTACAATCTAAAATTCAGTGCAGGGCAAACAACGGAGAAAGGGCTAAATAGAGAATCAATACTTGGTTGTTTCACATGCGCATGCTTAGTCTTAGCCATGGGTTAAGTTATAACAGTGCAGGCTGGTCTATTAGCTAGGGGTTATTAGCTAAGGGGGCACTGCCCCACATTAGTGCCAGGCTCTGTTTGCCTTCTCACAGCCAGTCTGGGCAGGAGGGGAGTGGTGACATTGCCTGTCTGCTACCTCCTCCTTAATCTCAGCCTCTTGTTTCCTGCGGTTATTATACTTTACAGGTTGTACGGTAGTTGCCCTGGGTCGTTTGACCCTTTTAAATAGTTATCTTTCTCCTTCTGAGAGAAAACAACAACAACAATGCAACACACTTTGTTTTTAAAATAACATGACTATTACTTGGTGTACTCCCTCTTGTACAAGACAGGCATGTAATACGTTACTGAAACATATTTATGTGAATTTGTACCTCAGACCGACTCATATTTACAGACTGGCTGAGGCAGACGGCAGAATAACGCAATGTATTTGCCGCTCTAACAGTTGAAACTCACACAACAGTTGGTAACTGAACTGAAGCAAACTGCCTCAGGCGTATGACATCACAGGATTCTATGCTACAGCATCAATCCTTTGCATAGTATTTTGGAAGCACCATTCCCACAATTCCATGGGTCTACTCTGTGTACAACCAGCCAAAAGCACTGGGATGTGGAATCTCTAGCCAAAGTGCCCCCCAGAACTCTTTGCGAGCAAATTGCCTCACCAGCCATGTTCCACATCTTCCTCAGGTGCTTTTGCTTGGTTAGTGCACTGTGATTATACTTCTTGCACCGTGATTATGCTTCTTGCAGACTGGCCACGCCATGGTTAAATCTCCCATGCCCTTTACCAGCGCTGATTGGACAGTGTTGGTGATGTAGCTGGGGTGACACATAAAGAGGGTGTCAATCCCCGCCCCTGCGACAGATCATTATTGGGTCCCAGCTGCCCAGCTGCAATACCGCCCACCGGAAAAGGTGAGTGGTCTTGCTTAACTGGATGATGAGAGAGGGTGGTGATGTAGAAACCTCTGGAATGGAGTTCACTGTACAAAGGTAAGAGTCACATTTGTCCCTCCTCTCTCTTTTTGCTTCCGGCCACCATCACTGGCGTGTGGCTCTGGAACATTGACACAAAGGAGCGCAGCCATTGGACCAAAAAATGGCACAACCCCCTTGGAGTGTGGAGTGGTGTTCCCTTGTATCAATACCATAGCTGTCAACTTTTCCCTTTTCTTGCGAGGAATCCTATTCGGAATAAGGGAATTTCCCTTAAAAAAAGGGAAACGTTGACAGCTATGATCAATAGCAGTTAGAGGTGTGCTAGGCATCTTTTAAATAAAAACACACACAAAAATCACTGCTGAGCTGCACCCACCATTGTGGGGCCTGAGGAGATGGTGGTGATGATGATGCCTCCTCAGCTGATGCCATTGGCTGTGGGTTGCTTGTGACATCACAAAAGCACATGGCAACTGAGTAAAGGTGATGTAAACTGATGTAAAGGTGTGCCAAGAGGAAAGCCAAGGAGATCACAGTGGGCAACTGCTGTGGCATTCAGCATAGGGAGGTCTCCTCTCACATGGAGGTGAACTGACAGATGGAAGGAGATGATCATCCAGCAGTGGGATGCTGTGGAGCAAGGAGAAGACAAGTCCACTTGCTGACTGGGATTGAGGATTGAAGGTGGCTGACATCCATGGTTAGAAGTTGATGGATTTTGGGCGGTAGACCTGAAGGAAGCCGGCTGATGTTGGTGAGTAGAATTTGTAGAGTTTGCATTTGGGTGCCAGTGGATGCCACAAAGTTGATGTTTGTAAACGTAAGCTGGTTGAAATTCATGTTTGAAAGCCTACTGAGAGAAGCTGTGTGGATATTTGTGGACTGAAGTTGGGTCTTGTATATGAATGAATCAAGAGAAGCTAGTAAGTATTTTGGTCTGTATCTGTGTGTGAATGGGAGGTTTTGAATGTGGTCAAGGCAAATGGTATCTGTCTGGATGCATTCATAATAAATAACAAGATGAAAGATGAAAAAAAATATTTTTTAATAATTCCATTGGTACCTTTAAGATTAACTAAATATAAGCTTTCAAGGTATGAACTTTCGTGTGTAATACACATTTCATCAGATACTCTGAAACAGAGTATCTTCACTTCAACCTTATAACTGTTGATGGCTGTTATGGCAGTTGGTTCCACAGGGAAGGGCAAGGGATTTTTAAAGGGATAGATGACCAAAATTAGCTTCAGTATGTATAATGGGACATGAATCCAATATCTCTATTCAGACAAGGTCTCTCCATAGTTTTTAGTTTGGTAATGAGTTGTAATTCAGCAACTTCTCTTTCAAGTGTATTTCTAAAATTCTTTTGCAGTAATACAGCTACTTTAAGATCTTGTATAGAATGTCCTGCGAGATTGAAGTGTTCTCCTATTGGTTTCTCTGTTTTATAATTCTTGATGTCATATTTATGCCCATTTATCCTTTGGCGTTTAGGGACACGGGTGGCGTTGTGGGTTTAACCACAGAGCCTAGGGTTTGCCAATCAGAAGGTCAGTGGTTCGAATCCCCACAATGGGGTGAGCTCCCGGTGCTCGGTCCCTGCTCCTGCCAACCTAGCAGTTCGAAAGCACGTCAAAGTGCAAGTAGATAAATAGGTACCGCTCTGGCAGGAAGGTAAACGGCGTTTCCGTGCACTGCTCTGGTTCGCCAGAAGCGGCTTAGTCATGCTGGCCACATGACCCGGAAGCTGTACGACAAAAAATGTATATCTTGTGTAGATTGATTCATTGTTAGGTTAATGGTGGGGTGAAAATCATTGAATGCCTGGTGGAAAGTGTCCAGGGTCTGTTGACCATGTGTCCAAATAATAAAAAGTATTGCCGATGTCATGTAGGTACAAAAGAGATTTGAGTGGGTAGGAATTTAGGAAACGTTGTTCTAAGTCTGCCATGAAGATGTTGGCGTACTGTGGGGCCATACGGGTACCCACTGCTGTGCCACTAATTTGGATGAACAAGTCATCACCAAATTTAAAGTGATTGTGGGTGAGGACAAAGTGGCAGAGTCTGGTAGCAAAATCTGCTCTGGTTTTGTCTGAAATGGTGTTTCTTATGCCTTGTAAACCGTCATTGTGTGGGATGTTGGTATATAGAGATTCCACATCCATGGTGGCCGATATAGTGTTGTTTGGTAAAGTATTCTGGATGTATTCAGAAGTTGACATATGTCATCCTCCAGATGCAGCGGGCTTGGGAATTATGCATTCAGTGGGTGGTGGAGTTCGCCCTTCCAGCATAAGGAAAATGAATGAACTGGTAGATACTCTTGGGTGTAAGCCAGTGGAAGTTGGTAGGCTGAAGTAAGCGATGAAATTGCCAGGCAGAAGCCATTGGAAACATCTGGCTGGTACTGCTGGATGGTAGCCACCCACCCACTCACTGTGCCTGGGTTTGCCCTTCAGGGTTATTAGAAGGCAGTGAAGTTTTCCCTGACACCACATATGGGTGTCCGTACTTTGTAGTGGGGAAATATCCATTATATTCAGCTGCACCTAACTGTTGGTCCAACTCCAAACCAGTTAGAATCAAGGGAGTGTCTACTTTTATTTAGCTAGTCTATTTTTATTCCATACCTCAGTAGTAGCCAACATGGTGCTTTCCCAGTGTTGATGAACTACACCTCCCATCATTCCTGACCATTGACCCTACTGGATGACGCTGGTGGGAACTGAAGTCCAGGAACATCTAGAGGGCAGCATATCAGTTTACTTTGCCATACTTTTTTTATCCAAAGAACTCAGAGCAAAGTATATTGTTCTGTCCTCCTCACACTGTCCTCTGCGTGGTAAGTTAGACTTCCACACTTCCACTCATCCCATGCCTAGAAATCATGGGTCCAAGCAGTTTCCCACTTGTCTCGTGTTTTCTAGGCACAATTTCTGATTTGCCCTGCAGCTTTCCCCTGGAAAACATGCTCTTGACCACTCAGTCAGAACAAACGGGAAGCCGTTTGGTTTGATTATGTGGTAAACCACTGGTCTTCCCAGAGGGAAATGGTGAGGCAGAGGTGTGGACAAGCCCCAGGAGATAGTGACTGGTGCGAGATCATCCAGTGAGCTGCATAGGGTTGGATCCTAGGTCTCCACAGCTGTAGTCAAACTCTCTAACCACTACATGAACTGATTCCTTTGTGTGTGCTGCAAAAGGTTTAAGAAATGGACAAAACCCCTTTAATTATTACAGCAGCCACATGAACCATGATTGTGGTAAGCTCTTGTTGGTAGGTAAAGGTAAAGGTAAAGGGACCCCTGACCATTAGGTCCAGTCGTGACTGACTCTGGGGTTGCGGTGCTCATCTCGCTTTATTGGCCGAGGGAGCCGGCGTACAGCTTCCGGGTCATATGGCCAGCATGACTAAGCTGCTCCTGGCGAACCAGAGCAGCGCATGGAAACTCTGTTTACCTTCCCGCTGGAGCGGTACCTATTTATCTACTTGTACTTTGACATGCTTTTGAACTGCTAGGTTGGCAGGAGCAGGGACCGAGCAACGGGTGCTCACCCGATCATGGGGATTCGAACTGCTGACCTTCTGATCGGCAAGTCCTAGGCTCTGTGGTTTAACCCACAGTGCCACCCGCGTCCCTTTGTGTGTGCTTCAAAGGGTTTAAGAAATGGACAAGACCCCTTTAATTATTACAGCAGCCACATGAACCATGATTGTGGTAAGCTCTTGTTGGTACTTGCATGCAAAAGGTTTACTTGTCTAAAGTAGAGAAAACCAAAGTGAATATATGCAGTAATCATTAAATGAAATGGTAGATGAGGACACCCGGCTGTCAGACGGTATGAAATCCAAATGATAAACAGCAGTGAGAGGAAAAGAACATAGCAAGGGGGAGGGATACTTCCAAATTCTAGCATATTGCTATTTCAAAAATAACAAGAGGCAGAGGTGTCTGCAACACAGTGTCACACTTTTGAAGACTGTCTGGGAATGCTCTCTTGATGATTCTGACTGTGTAATAAGTTTGTACAATGAGAGTAGAAAGAAAATCATTCGCTCCCTGACAGTTTGTCAAAGCTTGGGCTCAAAGCATCTTCTCGAAGTGCTGTAAAACCTACTCAGTGCTCGCTTGCTTTCATTGGTTGGATAAAAACAGGCAGAGATTACTATTGTTTACATACTTTACTTGTTTACATTGTGATACCCACACCTTTAAGAATTTAGAGCTTAGATAAAAAATGAGTGTAAAGGGGGATATCCCACTGCCAGCAGTGAACGGCATGGTGGGCTGCTGTGCTGAGTCATTTGGCTGAGTCACTGCACCAAACTGGGAATAATAATAATAATAATAGTAATAATAATAATAAATTATTTATACCACGCCTATCTGGCGGGGTGTTCCCCAGCCACTCTGGGAGGCTCCCAACAGAATGTAATATGAAGGGTTACCTTCAGATGTCTTCTAAAAGTCAGATAGTTGTTTATTTCTTTGACATCT